AGTTTATTCGTAAAATAATGTTCACATTTTATCGTCAATATAATTTTCTGTTAAATATTACTTCTTCAAATTACCAGGCAGTAAGTATATAATATAATGTACATTGTTACCGTCAATATAATTCTTTATTAACCATTGCTTCAAATTACCAGAAAGTAAGTATATAGTTTATTCGTAAAATAAAATACACATTTTATCGCCAATATAATTATCTTAAATATAATTCTCTGTTAAATATTACTTCAAATTATCAGTTTGTAAGTATATAGTTTATTTGTAAAATAGCGTGCACATTTTATCGTCAATATAATTCTCTTAAATATTAATTTTTAAAATTACCAGAAAGTAAGTATATAATTTGTTCATAAACTATGTACACATTTTATCAACAATATAATTTTCTTTTAAATATTATTTCTTCAAATTACCAGAGAGTAAGTATATAGTTTATTCGTAAATAATTTACACATTATCGTCAATATAATTTCTCTGCTAAATATTACTTCTTCAAATTACCAGGATGTAAGTATTTAGTTTATTCATAAAATAAGCTACACATTTTATCGTCAATATAATTCTCTGTTAAATATTGCTACTTCAAATTACCAGGATGTAAGTGTATAGTTTATTCATAAAATAATGTACACATTTTTATCTTTAATATAATTCTCTGTTAACAATTACTTCCAATTACCAGTGAGTAAGTATATATTTTATCGTCAATATAATTATCTTAAATATTAATTCTTCAAATTACCAGAAAGTAAGTATATAATTTTTTCATAAACTATGTCACATTTTATCGTTAATATAATTCTCTGTTAAATATTATTTCCTCAAATTAACAGTTTGTAAGTATATAGTTATTCGTAAAATAATGTACACATTTTATCGATACTATAATTATCTGTTAAACATTACTTATTCAAATTACCAGGCAGTAAGCATATAAAGTTTATTCGTAAATAATGTACACATTGTACCGTTAATATAATTCTCTGTTAAATATTATTTCTTCAAATTCCCAGAAAGTAAGTAAATATTAAACTTATAAAATAATGTATACATTTTATTGTCAATATAATTCTCTATTACTTCTTCAAATTACTAGGATGTAAGTATATATAGTTTATTCATAAAATAATTTACACATATATCGTAAATATAATTTTCTGTCGAATATTATTTCTTCAATTTACCAGGAAGTAAGTATATAATTTATTCATAAAACAATGTACACATTTTATCATCAATATAAATTCTCATAAATACTACTGCCTCAAATTACCAGTTTGTAAGTATATAGTTTTTCATAGAATCATGTACACATTTTATCATAAATATAATTCTTCAAATTACCAGAAAGTAAGTATAGTTTATTCGTAAAATAATATACACATTTTATCGTCAATATAATTCTCTATTAACCATTACTTCAAATTACCAAATTATCAGTAAGTAAGTATATGGTTTATTCGTAAAATAATGTACACATTTTATCGACAATACAATTCTCTGTTAAATTTTACCTCTTCAATTACCAGAAAGTAAGTATATAGTTTATTCGTAAAATAATGTATACATGTTATCGTCAATATAATTCTCTTAAATATCAATTCTCAAATTACCAGAAAGTAAGTATAGTTTGTTTATAAATATTTTATTGTCACTATAATTCTCTGTTAAATATTATTGCTTCAAATTATCAGGATGTAAGCATATATAGTTTGTTCATAAAATAATGTACACATTCTATCGTCAATATAATTCTCTGTTAAATATTACTTCTTCAAATTACCAGGAAGTAAGTAGTTTATTTGTAAAATAATGTACACGTTTTATCGTAAATATAATTCTCTGTTAAATATTACTTCTTCAAATTACCAGGGAGTAAGTATATAGTTTATTCATAAAATAATGTTACATTTTATCGTCAATATAATTCTCTGTTAAATATTACTTGTTCAAATTACCAGGAAGTAAGTATAAAGTTTATATATAAAATAATGTACACATTTTATCGTTAATATAATTCTTGTTAAATATTACTTCAAATTATCAGTTTGTAAGTATATAGTTTATTCATAAAATTATCTAAACATTTATCTTCAATATAATTCTCTTAAATATCAAATTACCAGGGAGTAAGTATAAAGTTTATTCATAAAATAATGTACACATTTTATCGTTTAATATAATTCTTTGTTAAATATCAAATTACCAGGGAGTAAGTATAAAAGTTTATTCATAAAATAATGTACACATTTTATCGTTAATATAATTCTTTGTTAAATATTACTTTTCAAATTGCCAGTTTGTAAGCATATAGTTTATTCGTAAAATAATGTATACATTTTATCGTCAATATAATTCTCTGTTAAATATTACTTCAAATTACCAGAACGTAAGTATATAGTTTATTCGTAAAATAATGTACACATTATCGCAAATATAATTCTCTGTTAAACATTACTTCTTCAAATTACTAGGGAGTAAGTATATAGTTTATTCGTAAAGTAATGTACACATTTTATCGTCAATCTAATTCTCTGTTAAATATTACTTCTTCAAATTACCAGGTTGTAAGTATATAGTTTATTCGTAAACAATGTAGACATATAGTTATTCGTATAATAATGTACACATTTATCGTCAATATAATTCTCTATTAAATATTACTTCTACAAATTATCAGAATGTAAATATATAGTTTATTTGTAAAATAATCTACACATTTTATCGTCAATATAATTCTCTGTTAAATATTACTTCTTCAAATTACCAGAGAGTAAGTATATAATTTATTCGTAAAATAATTACACATTTTATCGTCAACATAATTCTCTGTTAAATATTACTTCTTCAAATTACAAGTTGGTAAGTATAGAGTTTATTTATAAAATAATGTACACATTTTATCCTCGAACTAATTCTGTTAAATATTACTTCTTCAAATTACCAGGTTGTAAGTATATAGTTTATTCGTAAACAATGTACACATATAGTTTATTCGTATAACAATGTACACATTTATCGTCAATATAATTCTCTGTTAAATATTACTTCTTCAAATTACCAGAAAGTAAGTATATAGTTTATTCGTAAAATAATAATTCTCTGTTAAAGATTGGAATCGAATTTATTTTCTTAATTCGAATTTTATAAATATGAATTTGAATTAATTCAAATGAATTCAAATTCATATTTATATGAATTCATTTGAATATTCAATGAATTGAATATTCGATTCCAACCACTATTCTCTGTTAAACATTACTTCTTCAAATTACTAGGGAGTAAGTATATAGTTTATTCGTAAAGTAATGTACACATTTTATCGTCAATATAATTCTCTGTTAAATATTACTTCTTCAAATTACCAGGACGTAAGTATATAGTTTATTCGTAAAATAATGTACACATTTTATCTTAAATAGGATTTTCTATTAAAACCTACTTCTCTTTTTACTTTAAATTACCAGGTCGTAAGTATACAGTTTATTTATAACATAGTATACGCATTTTATCATCGATAGATTCTCTATTAAATATTAAATATCCGTTTGTTCATTTTAAATTACCAGGATGTAAGCATATAGTTATTCATAAATAATGCACACATTATATTGTCAATAGAATTCTCTTCATTAAATACTACTTTTCTGTTCTTTCACTTTAAATTGGAATAATAAATAGCTTCTGTTGGGATGAATTCGAAATTTTAGAACATCTTCATAGAGGATTTTCTAGTGAAGTTATAAAAGCTAATTGGAAGGCAGAAAATATTGTAGTCGTTCTAAAGACTGTAGTTGACTTGGACGAAACAGATTCAGATAATCAAAAGTCTATCAAGAATAACCAAGAATTTAGTAAAGAGGTAGGACAGTTCCGTTTACTCGTAGCATTTTAAATTCTGATAAGTTTTTTCTATGCTTAAAAGATTAAGCCTTTTCACGAAATCAAACAAGCGCTGCTAAATAAAGAAAAAACACCACCAATAGGTTATAAAAATGTGATCAAATTTTTTGGTGCAACGAAGCATCGGTATTGTTTAAAGTTTATATATATATAATATCACATGCTGTTGAATTTGAATCACTTATTGTCATCCTTTTTTCAAAAAAAAAAATAATATATATAGAAATAAATCCGGTAGATTATATATAAGTATCAATGTGAACTTTACATAACTATAATATATTTATCTTTTGCACTGTTTCTTTGACTAAAATAGTACATTACCTAGTATTAGAGTATGCAGAACTTGGCGATTTACGGCACTATTTGAACCACATGAATTTAGATTGGGAACAAAAGGTTAACATTGCAAGACAAGTTGTTTGCGGTCTATTTTTTTTACATGAAAATAAAATTTTGCATTGTGACTTAGTAAGTTACATATTTTTTTAATAGCTAATTAATATTACAATTGACATTTAATTAAGAAATTAACTTTATATCAGCATACAAAAAAGGTGGTTATTAAAAATGATGAAAGTTTCAAGTGTGGTATTAGAGTTATTATCATAGACTTTGGAACTTCAAATGAAGGTGGTATAATACCATTTGTGGACCCTATAATTTTGAATAATTGGAAGCTAAAACCTGATCATAGATCTGACATATATAGCCTTGGCGTAATTTTATGGGAAATTACAAGTAATGGCCGAAAACCGTTCGAAAAAGATCCCAAAAGGTTTTCACTCGATCTATTTGCAATTCGATTAATAAGAGGAGAACGGGAAAAACCAATAGCTGGCTCCAAAGCATCTTATGTTGAACTTTATACAGATTGTTGGAATGGAAATCCTGATTTTCGGCCAGATATTAAAGAAGTGTACAAATTAATTCATGAAAACGATATCATATCAGGTGAAGAATGGCAGCAACCAATAGAATTACAACAGAATGAATTCAGTGAATCTGACAATGATGTAACATATGATGAAAATCTGATACAAACAGAATTACCACAAATCCTTATTTCTGAAACTGGTGAGAACTAATTTTAAATTAATAGTGTCCCTAATTTTTTTTAATAACTTTTAGAAATAAGTCTATCATAATTTATTCCTAATTTAGAATATAGAGAGGTGTGTTCTTTCGCTTTACAAACATCTAGTAGTTCTTTGGTTCCGAATCTAATATTTCTTATCAATCTTTAAGAATATGCATGATAATTTAGTAGATAAAAATCAGTTGGACGGACAACGAAAAAGTGAATTGCAAGGTGAACGTGAAAATGAACAGCTAAAAAATGAATGTGATGAACAGAGGGGTAACTATGATGAACAAATGGAAGATGAAAGGAACGACAAGCGAGTTTTTAATAAGGTGCTTGAGAAGGTTGAACAACTTTCGCTTAAGATGTTCAACCACTTTTCTCCCAAAGAACTTGAAGTAATTGAGCGGCTTCCTAATAACAAAGTTGGTCAGTATTTATGTATATTACTATATTTTATGTTAACTAATTCATTTTGACGAATGTTTAATTTATATAGATGAAATTGTTAACTTAGTCCAATCTGTTGCTCATCGAAAAAAAAAAGAGAAAATGTAACATTGACTTATTTTATAGGTTTCGCATACCAATATCGTACACCTTATCAATAACGTACCCACCCTCATTTAATAAATATCAATTAGTAAACATTTAAAAAAAGTTTCGCTTTTGATAGGGGTGTACGATACCTGTAATATAGAATTTTATAATTTTTGGGATGTTTTTTGGCTTTTTTTTTAGTTACATTAGGGTTTGGGTTAGTGTTTTAATAAAAAAGTATAGGTGAATTTTAGTAGAGTTTATATTTCTAAATCGAGATCTACCATTTCCAACATTAATTGTTTTCAACTTTAATTATTTCAGCGTCATCCATGATCACTGTAAGTACCAATGTAACATCTGGTCCTAATTAAAATTGCTGGGTTTGATTACTTGTATACCAATAATAAAAATTATTTAATTGTTTCAAATTGGACTAGACCTTATGTTTATACCTTAAAATTGGTTACTTGATATTTTCATATAACTTATATTTATAATTTATTAATAATCTAGATAAACATGTTTATATCTATTAATAATATTTATTAAATAAGATAAATTTATAATTCTTTCATAGATTCTTTTTTTTTCGTTAAGGTCAATGTTTATAGCAGCTACTGTCTTTATTGTGTTTATAATTATGGTTACATAAATTGTACAAGGTGATTGTGCAACTAGTCACATATGCAACTTTTAGTTAACTATTTAAGTAGTTTGCATGCAAGTTCTACACGAGCTGTTATATCTGTAATCTGTTAAAAGATTATCTAATTAAATATTTTGATCCTTATACTATACTTAACAGATAGCACACTGATTTCTGTACATCTAAATATCATCTAACCTAACATTTTGTTTTTTTTTCTGTACATTCATCAAGTTATTACATATTTCAAATATATTATCTAATTGTAAAATTCAATGTTTTTTCTGTTAACTAATCTATTTATTTTTTATAAAATATTAACAGAATTTGCTCTTGCAAAGTTTCTTAAACCTTAATATCAATTTTATAGCATTTTTTTAGTGCTTATAATATATCTCTGTCTTGTTATCTAACTTTCAATTTAGATAACATAATAGTAATAACTTATTACATAAAATAGTATTAAAACAAATATAAATTTTAGAAGATTTATTTGAATTTATTATCTTATAATAGAATATTATTGATTTAACAATATTTTTTTACTAGGTAAGCTTTGATCACTCTAATAAGTTTAGGTTGCAGATAAATTAGTTTGAGCATTTATTCTTATATGTAATTTTTAATTTATTTGTTTTGTACAAATAGTATTAACTGTATAGTTAGCAGTTTAATAGTTAGCCCCAACTGTAAGTATTGGTCTTGGTCATAACATATATACATGTAACTATTTTAAATTATTAATAAAGATATAAGCAAGGCTTCATCTTAAAAAAAAAATATATATATATATATATTTTTATAAAAAAAATAAAAAATAAACTATAATTAAAAAAAATATAAAGAAATAGAAGATAGTAATAAAAGCAAATATTAGTCATTAGGAGTATGGCAACCTAGTGAAGTGGTCAGGTTGTCAACCTCCCAAGTGGTAGGTTGGATGTTCAAATTCTATCGACAATGAAAATTTGGATAATCACCTATGTAATATTCATATTACAGCAACTGTTACTAATGATTGGGTTAGAATACCTGTAATAGCGGTTGCACCAGTATAATTGGCAGGTCATGGGGCATCTGTATAAGTATGACATTACACAGAGGAATGCAAACTGACAAATCGGGCAGTGCAAACACTAGATAAGTTCTTGTAGCCATGTAAATTTGTTGAAATTGGGTAACAAGAAGTCCATTTGGGAAGATTTGAGTAAAGAGATAGCTGGATCTTTGACAGCCCTACTGTAAAGGCTAGCCTAAGAAAACGGATACCAAGGTCATAGTACCTGGTCATAGTAGCCAGATGGGCAAGAACTTCTAGGTTGGGAGTCTTAGGAGTACTACCAACCAGGCTGCCAGAATAAACCAGAGGAAAAGGATATAGGGCTGACCTAATATACCAATGGATTGGTTGTATTCCTACACAGGCTATCTGGATTGGTAGTTTGATAAAAAGGCTGGACAAAAGACTGGGGTATACTAAAGTACTAGAGTTATGCTGTGAAGTAGATGCTGAAGTCTAAGTGAACTTTACAAAGGCATAGCAGTTTAATGGTTAGCCCTGATTGTAAGTGTTAGTTCTGCCATAGCGATATCTAGATCAGCTGTAAAAATGAGTACAGAAGGCTCTGGGGGTATACCTTGAGGATAAATTAGTTCTAAGCTTGAGAATGATGATCTGGTACATCTGAGATGACCAGTGATGTTAATACAGGTTACAGGTTCAGAGGGTTTAAAGTAGAACACCCAAGCAGGGGTATTAGGTATAGCAATTAGTAAAAAACCTTTAGGCAGACTCCTTAAATAGATAATATAGAAAAGTTACACATGTAGCCAATTGTACATTCTTCTGTAATGGTTCATTGAACTACAATACTGATAAATGATTAATAAAAGTCAAAAGATCAAAAAGGTCATCTTAATGCCAAAAAAAAAAAATATTGTTATCTTATTAAGCATAATATACTAACTTAATACATTTAAATTAAAATGTAATTATACAAAATTTTATATATCAATTTGCAATTAAATAAATATATTTAATATTTAAAGATTTATAAAATATATTTATAAAATAAATTAAATTAATTATTAATTACATATTGATTAAAAATTCTTAAAATTAGTTAATTTTTTTAAAAAAAATTAAAAAATTAAATTTTTTTGATATATTTCTAAATTAACCAATCATAATTAAGTATTTTTTTATGCTACTATATAAGTACTTTAGTGTAATTTTTGTGTATAAATTTACAAAATTTCAACTATAATTATTATGAAAAAAAAGTTATAATAAAAAAAAAATTATCTATTTAAATTAGTTTATTATATAAAAAATTAATAATTTTATATAATAAAATTAATACTACTTATATATAAAAAAGTTAGTAATTATAAAATTTTTTTAAAAATTAAAAATTTTATTTATATTTTATATATAAAATAAGCCTCTTAATATATATTTTATCTTTATATTATTTAAAAATATATTAATTATTAATTTTATAAACTTGCTATATAAGTATATTTTATATAAAAATTTCTATATTTTTTATATTTATAAATACTTATTTATAAATTATTTTGATGAACTCTCTCCGTAGATCACTTATACCAAAACTACAAAAAAACATTTGATTATTTCTTAACATTCTACTAAGTAAACCTTACTTGACCTCTTAAG